CTCCCTCTCTTCCCTCCTTCCCCGTCCTCGTCCTCCTCTCTCTCTATATATATAATTGAATCCTCCTCGTCATCCCTCTCTTCCCTCCTTCCCCGTCCTCGTCCTCCTCCATATATAATAGAATCAATCTTCCCCCCTTCCTCTCTTCCTTCCCCTCCTCCTCCTCAGGGTGAGCTCCTCCCCCCCCCGCGCATCAGGAGGCCTCGGGCTACTGGGTGGTGCAGCCGGGCGCCAACGGGGGCTCGCGCGTGTGGTTCGCGGTGTCGCTCCGGGCCGCGGGCGCCGCAGCCGCCCCCGCTTCCCTTGTCGCCCCGCCCGCGTCGTCGCAGCGGTCGTTGGTCGTGGCGTCGCTCGGACGTGCTCGTTTTTTGTCGGCGAAGCGTTCCAGTTTGCCTCCTAAGCCCACTAACGCTGATTCACGAAGGTGAAGCAAAGTTAGCACTGCTTGCCCCATGCATGTTCTGTCCTCTCCCCCTTTGCTTCTCCTTCCGCTCTTTGTGCCGCTGCAGCAGTGTCGGATCATGTTTTAAGAACCCTTGGTGGTTTGAGCGTTTCTGGCTGAAGCCGTATTGTGCTCATACACGGGGTGTATGCTCTGAGAAAACAGAGGTTTCTGTTCTTCACACACGTGTTGGTTCTAAAAACAGTTCGTAGTAGGCATCCAGGAGTGTTAGGACGGCTGGTCCATGCTCAATTTACCTAACAGCGAAGACTGATAGGTTTCTAGTAGTGTCAAAAGAGCTCACAGATCACTCCACAGGGGGGTCCGGGCAGGTGTTGGGGCGTTTCCGGGCGGCATGAGCCGGGCTCGTTTTTCACCAACAATCACACACTTCGTGCTCTTCGCCTTCCCAGAACTCCATTCCCAGGCCACATTCTGGGGGCCGGATGCAACTGTAGGCCACTTCGTGCTCTTCGACATCCCAGAACGCCATTCCCGGGCCACATTCTGGATGCCGGATGCAACTGTAGGCCACTTCGTGCTCTTCGACATCCCAGAACGCCATTCCCGGGCCACATTCTGGATGCCCGGAGCCAACTGTAGGCCACTTCGTGTTCTTCCATTTCCCAGAACTCCATTCCCGGGCCACATTTTGGATGCCCGGAGCCAACTGTAAGCCACTTCGTGCTCTTCGAGTTCCCAGAACTCCATTCCTGGGCTACATTTTGGATGCCCAGAGCCAACTCTAGTCCACTTCCTGGTCTTCGAGTTCCCAGAACTCCATTGCCGGGCAACATTTTGAATAGCCAGACGCTTCATATTCCTTCCGCCACAGCTGTGTTTGGTTCAGGACTTGCTAGTGACACTGCAGTCCTCTGCATTCAATTGGCCACTACATTCATTCACTGCAGTCCACTGAGTTTTGATTGCAATGGCGTTCCCCTGGCCGTACCCCCATGTCCAACGTTCATCCGCAGCCTCTGCTCCGCGAGGCTCGTCCGAAGTGTCGCCGCCTCGCGGTGCTTCTCAGCCTGCGCCGCCTCGCGGTGCTTCTCAGCCTGCGGAGGAAGGTGGACAGACGCCTGGTTCTGGCGCTGTGCAGCCTGCGTCTTTCACGGTCGCCTCGTTCAATTTCGGGTTCGAGCAGGGCATGATGACTGGTAAGCAGGCGGCCACTCACTGCGCTAACTTCGGAAGGTTGTGCGCCAAGATAGTGGAGACCGCTGATGCTGATATGGTCTGTGGCTGCGAGGTCGGTGCGTTCCGTGAAGGCTTTCGCCGAGCAGGGATCAACGTGACAGAGATCCTCAGTAAGCCTTTCGGTGATGGCATTCGCTTCTTGGAGGTCGACAACTACTTGACTCTCTGGGGGTTCCGCGGTGCTTCTCAGCCTGCGGAACTGACTCTGTGCGAAGACAGCAAAGTTTACAGGCCTCCTAGCGGCCGAGATATTGATGCTGTTATTTCACATTTTGAGGTGAACAAACCAGGCCATGACAAGTTCCACGTGGTGATCGCCAACATGCACATCGTGTGCGGCAAGAAACCGCCGAGCATCCAGACTCGAAAGCGGACAGTTCGCCATCTCCGCTTGCACCTGGACGGCCTGGCCAAGATTCTTGAGAATCTAAACGAGGCAGTCGTTGTGCTTGTAGTCGGCGACGACAACCTCACTTTCCAGGAGGCGCGGGAGGCTTACCAGCGCGAGCAGAACGACGAGAAGGTATGGGAGGTCCATGCCACTCCGGCCGACCTCAAAGGCGACCACGTCGCGGTCTGCGGAGCAGTCGCCCGTTTCTGCTCCATTGCCGTTGGCGCGTCTTTTACGGATCGTGGCATGCGCAACGACGCACACGATGCGGTGGCGGTTGTGCTCACTCTCCCTGGTGCTATTCAGCCTGGGGAGAGCAAGAGGCGGAAAATTGTCGTCGAAAACGTCTCCGACGCCGACGTCAGCGTACAGGCGGACCGCGAGTCTTCTGTGCATTGGGATCGGTCGCCGAGTTCTGCTCCTCCGCTTTCACCGACTTCACCGGGTGATCCCGACTACGTCGAGGATGTCGTTCAGAATCGCGCGGACGACTTGCACAGGGAGCTGAGGCAGCTTTGGGACGACAGGTACGACGAGGAGTACGATCCGAAAGTCCTCCATCATCTCAGTCTCTTGCTTTTCAAAAAGAGGAAGTCCACGGAGCCAGCGGACACTGATCCAGCTGGCGCTCCTCAGCCTGGCTCGGAATATGACGCGGCCTTTGCGTCTCAGGAGGAGACTGGCCGAGCCATTCTCTCTGTCCTTAAGCTTCGACATGACTTTCTGCGGAGCAAGAACATCGACGACATGCGCTACGTTCTCACGGAGCCTGAGCGCCAGGAATTGGTCAGAGTAGCTCGCGACCAGTACGAGCAGTCGCGGCAGCAGCGTGCGCTTCAGGAACGGGATATCGAAAAGGGAAAAGCGAAAGGCAAGTCTGCGCCACAAGGGGGCCATGCGGTTCCGCAGGGTCCGAACAAAGGGCCAGGCGGTAAGAAAGGTTCTCACGGTGCTTCTCAGCCTGCGGGAAAAGGTGGCCAGGCCAAGGGTGCAGGTCTGGGTAGCGTCGCCAAGTTTGTGAAAGACCAGAAGCGTAAGCGGTGGCATCGCCATTTGCAACGTGTGGCCGGTACTAAACAGATCTGGGAGGTGCTGGCCTTCTCAGGGCGCTTCGACGTTGATTGGTTAACGCAAGCGTTGCAAGCTGATCACAGTGAGGGCCGTGATGCAGCAGTTCCCGAGGAAGCTCTGCGGCAACAGCGGCGCCGGCTGCACCACCAGAAGGCCGAGGCCATCGCGCGCTACAACGAGGGGGAGCGGCTTTCCCTATATCTGTCTGCCCAGGCTGGCCAGGCAAAGCCGAACTTCACGCGCAGGCAGCAGGACGTGTTGCAGATGTTTGAGAGCGGAGCGCTGCTTCAAATCCGCAACCAAGCGATTCTGGCGTGCGGGCACGGCCGTCTGTTCAGGGGCGATGGCGACTACCTGGACATCGGCGGCAGCACGGGCGGTGGCTCCAGGCGCATCATCGATTCTTGGCAGCCGCCGGACTGGCGTGACTTCCTCCAAGACGATCAGGACATCTGAGTTTTGCAAGTCTCTCTGCCCGCGGTGCTTCTCAGCCTGCGGTCTGCCGCTCTCCAGCTGCGGTCTCGAGCAGTAGTGTTCGAAAGCATGCGAGTTCCTGCGGTGCTTCTCAGCCTGCAGGTTTCGCAGCCTGCGCTCTGCAGTACAAGTGCTTTTCAGCATGCGACATCCTGCGGTGCTTCTCAGCCTGCAGGGTTCGCAACGTGCGGTTTGCAATGCATTCCTTTTCAGTATGCGAGTTCCTGCGGTGTTTCTCAGGCTGCAGGGCTCCGAGGCTCTTCGCTTCGATGCCAATGTTTTCAGACACCGTAGCTCCGTTCCGTAAACGTCTTCCAAGAGCCGCTCGCAACCTTTTGCAGCTGGCTGTCTGCACGCTTCGCCGGCTTTTGCTGCGCGGACAATTTTCTCACACACGTCAGCGCCGTTTGTAGGCGTCAGAAAAACATGTAGACATTCACGAAGGGCTCAGTCTGTATATCGTCACATCATTACATACGCAGTCGTCGAACACATCGGTGTACATTCAGCGCTTTGTCCTTCTAGCTGGGTTGCTTCGTGCTGAGGCTGAGGCTGATGCAGGCTGAGGCTGAGGCAGGCTGAGGCTGAGGCCGAGGCCGACGGCAGACTGAGGCTGAGGCTGAAGCAGGCTGAGGCTGAGGCAGAGGCAGGCTGAGGCTGAGGCTGAGGCAGGCTGATGCTGAGGCAGGCTGAGGCTGAGGCTGAGGCTGATGCAGGCTGAGGCTGAGGCAGGCTGAGGCTGAGGCCGAGGCTGAAGGCAGACTGATGCTGAGGCTGAAGCAGGCTGAGGCTGAGGCTGAGGCAGGCTGAGGCTGAGGCAGGCTGAGGCTGAGGCAGGCTGAGGCTGAGGCTGTGACTGCGACTGCCGTTGCCACTGCGACTGTCATCGCGAATGCGACTACGACTGCGAGAACAGCAGAACTCTACAACTGGATTCTCATCTGAATCTTAAGGGGAATGCTTCCAGATATGCTCCTACACATCGCTGTTAGGTTGCTTTGCCGGGATAATTTTCTCGGCGAGGAACATTGCGGAGAATGTTGCATCCTCCTGTGAACTGAAAACCCGCACGAACCCGAAACATGCACAGGCGTCCGAGCGATGGCGAGGCATCGTCGCAGCAGTCGCTGTCGTTGTCGGATGTGGGGGGGAGAAGGGGTCCGATGACGGCATCTATGCACCACCGTGCCTGGCCACAGCTATCCCGGGCCCCACTATGGTGTATACGCCCTCCTGGCATCGGCCAGGCGGGCGTGTACACCATGTCAGGGCCCAGGCTGGCCCTGGCCAGCCACGGTGGTGGTGTACAGATGCCTTCTGCGAAAGGGGGGCGAATGGAGGGAGTATCGGGCGGGGCTAGGCTGGGACTGGGATAGAGCGTTCCGGGACGCTCTCCGAGTGTTCCAGAACGCTCTGAAACGGCCGCGGTGCCCCATACATCCTCCAGAACCGTCGGATGTCCGAGAACCCTTGGTGGCACCGGTCCGATGCTGTCCTGGTGCTGGCCTCGGTTTGAATTTGCAGGTGCCAGGTGGCAGACAGTAAGGTCTTCGTGGTGATCAGCACGACCCATGTTCTGAACATCAAGACGTACGTTGGGGAGTTCATGGTTTTTTGTGTTGCACTCGCCATGCGTGTCAGGGACTCCACGATACACGCGCGGAATCGATTCGATTCCGATGGCTTCCGATTCCGATTCGATTTGACTTCGGATTCCGACTTGGATCCGACTTTTCGACGGAGGCCTCATTAGCCTGCTGGCTTCCGCCGTTTCCACTGCGCCCGAGCTGGCTGCCGATTCCCGCCGATCCGACTCGTCGATTCGATTCCGGACTCTCCTGCCCCATGCCGTCGGCGAGCGAGAGGGGGAAGCGAGGAAGGGGCGGGCCCTCTCAGAAGGCTCGGAAGCCCCCCGGCCTTCGGAGAAGATTCAGCTTCCCCCGAAGACGCAACGAGACCTCCCAGAGGAGGAGGAGGAGGAGGAGGAGGAGGAGGAGGCGAAGGCTACGGATCAGCCCCGCCGCCGTCCGAGGAGGCCGCCTCCTTCTCCGTTCCCCCTCTCGCTCGCCGCCGACTTTGGCTTGGAGGGATCCTGTCTCGGGCCTCCGGCGGCCGTTGGGGACGCCCACTGGCACTCCCGGCACGCCCCCGGCGAGGCGCAGCTGCTGGCAGGCAGCCCGAGGCCAGGAGACCGCCGATAGAGAGCATGAAAACGACCGAACGCCTTGAAGAGGGGGCCTCACATGCGAACCCTGCCCCTACCCCCCCACGACTTCCTGAAGGGGAGGGTGGGGTTCACTTCGTTCGGGAGCTCCCGAGCGAAATGAACCCCACCCTCCCCCTCGGAAGTCGTGGGGGGTAGGGGCAGGGTTCGCATGTGGCCCGGCCACTGTGGCCCCCTATGGCGAACTCCCCCCCCCCTCGCTCGCCGCCGACCCTGCTCCGTGGGCGCGCCCTCGTCCGCGGGCACACCCCCCGCGGCACCTCCCGCGGCCGCCCCGTCCTCGTCCTCCTCCTCCTCCTCCTCCCCTCCTCCTCCTCCTCCTCCTCCTTTTCCTCCTCCTCCTCCTCCTCCTCCTCCTCCTCCTCCTCCTCCTCATCCCCGCCCCGCGCGGCCCTGCCACGACGCTCGACGAGGAGCCAGCTGCATGCGAACAGGAGTTCTACTCCGAGGAGGGGAAGAGGCACCCGTGCCGCCATCCTGCCTTCCCTGGTTCTCCCCGTGCTGGGCCGTCTCGCAGTCCCTCGTCGCCGCCGCTGGATGCGCCTCGAAACCCTGGTCAGAACGAACCGTGGGAGAGGTCCGAGGAGTAGCGGTATCGGTACCTTCTGTTCGGATGCAGCTCCTGGGAGGTCAAATTCTGATTGTGCCCTGGTCCGATAGCTGGCTCAATCCGGCTTCATCCCGCTTAGTTCTGCCTGATCCGGCGTAATCCCGCTTAATCTGAGGCCCACAGCTGTGTAAGAGCTCCCAAATGGGGCTTGCTCCTCCTTGATCTTTCCGACGAAAACCTCCCAGTAGTTGCCTCCTATCTTTTGGTCTCCCCATCCACGGTCGGAAGTGTTGGGTATAGCGCGTCGCTCTGCCGGTGCTGGCCCACCGCGCTTCGGCGCGGCGTGTCGGCCATGTCCTGGTCCTGAGGCGTCGACGTCCGGAGCGGGCCCCCGACCTCCCGCCCCGCGGAGCGGAGCAACACGGCATCCGTTTGCAGGGCACAGCGCGTCCGCCAGAGCGCCGCCGCGACACGCTACGCTCAGGAGAGGAAAAAACACACAGACACAATTAATCGTCGATTTCCCAGAAAATATGGGAAAACATGGGAAGTGGGGGGGAAGACAAAAACCCAGAAGATATGGGAAAATATGGGGAATATTTTTATTTGTGTGTATTTATTTGTGTGTCCTGGGGCCCCTTTATAAGCAAGAGCTCCCGACCACGCAGTCTCGTTGGCTCTGCTCGCGGTCGCCCTGGATCCGCGTGGACCTCCGAGAGGGTCTGCTTGTGCAGCTCAGCGAGGTCCCCCCTATCAGGGACCCCGTGCTCTGTGCTCTGTGCTAGTGGACCAACGGAGAAGATGCACGTTGCCAGAAATCTTCCCAGGTGCCTAAAACATGTTGTCGACCTGTTTTGAAACATGATGTTTAACACATGTTTGAAACATTTGGAGCTTTCAATCAGTAGTGATAGGACTGTTAGAGTGCCCATTGCCATGGCATCCACAACTCCGTGCCCGCCGTGCAGGCGGAGAAGACGGAGGAAGAGCGCCGCTCGTCGCCCCTCGCCCGTCGCGCCGGCAAGCGGGAGAGGGTCACTCCTTGGGCGTCGCTCAATGGGGGGGGGGCGACACAGCGGTGGCGCCTCCCATCGCAGATTACAGGTCGATGGTTTCCCCCCTCTGCCAGTCCCCCCCTATCGTTGCCCCTCAGTACAGTCGGCCCAGAATAGTAGGTCGACCCTGCCAGTTCAAGCGTACCCTTGTGTCCTGTGTCTCGCGGCCCATGCTTCCTACATTCCTGTGGCAATGTGGCCCTCGGAAGGGTCTTGTGTCCTCTCGGGTGTCCTGTCCAATCGAGTCCGAGTGCAGAGGAGGATGGGGCCTACATGAGGTGTGGAGAACATAGGGAGCCCCCACAGGACGTGCCCGCCATCCACGTACAAGGTGTGGTCGAAATGAAGGGTGAAGAGAAGGGCCCCACAGGGGCCCTTTCAGGGACTGTTTTGGAGGGGCCTTTTCAGTGCCTGTTTTGGAGCCAGCAGGGACCCTAAGGGCCACTTTTGGGCCCTTCTCTTCAATCCCCCATTGAGGTCACCCCCATCATCACCCCCCGCCCAAACTGCTGTGTCCCGGACGGCTTTTGCTGACGGGCCCGAAGTCTGCAAGCTGCCCCCCAGTGAGGCCGCACACACACGCTGACACACACACACACACACACACTCACACTCACATTCACGCACACATACACATGCACATGCAAACGCACATGCTCATACACATACACACACATACACATACACGTACACATACACATACAAGTACACATGCACATGCACATGCACATGCACATACACACACACGCACGCACGCACGCACGCATACACACTGACACGCTGACAGACACACTGACACGCTGACACACACACACACACACGCACGCACGCACGCACGCACCCACGCACACACACACACACACACACACACACGCACACACACATACACACACACGCGCACATACACACACACACACACGCACACGCACACGCACACACACACACACACACACACACACACACACACACACACACACACACACACACGCACGCACGCACGCACGCACGCACGCACGCACATACACACACACGCATGCTTTTGCGTCGCAGCGCGGCAGAGGTGATCCGCTAGCGCGCTCCAAGGAGGAAGAGGGCGGCCGCACAAAGCAGGCGGGGGCTGATGGCACTCACCGCGGAAAGAGTTTTATCAGGAATTGCCGGAGCGGCCAGCTTGTGCTGGGCCGACCTGGCAGTGGGCTCGGAGCGGCATCGCAAAAACACCCAGGGGCTGAAGCCAAGGCTGCCGGCACCGAAAGCGTGGAGCAAGTCGAACCAGCCAGCGAGGCCGCACACATGCAGCAAGAAATGCCAGCACCGATTTTGACAAGGCATTTGAGGTCCGCCTCCCTTCAAACATCGACCTTCAGGATTTGTTTCAGGCGGGTCAAGCCTGCGGCGGCGGGAACCCGTTCTGTAGTCCCCAGGAAGGCAGAACAATTCCCAACATCCCACATGATCGCCGGCAGCTCAACTCCGATGTTTTCTCATCATCGAGATATAATAATACTAGCCCTAATAGCACGATGAAGACGTAGCGTAAACTTACGTACTGAGGTTCCCTCCTTTCCCGTAGGAGTACGAGAGCTAGGTGCTTTGGCTCGATTGCTCAAAAGATCCCGATATCCTTCATGTATTTGGCCCTTTTCACTTACATCCTATCCCACCTGGTTAAGGGCACTCATATTGCTAATCACATCGTCGCCAAGCCGTCGATCCTTGAGCCCCGCCCGATCCTCGATCCTCACCAAAACCTGTATCCCCGATCCTCGAATCCTCGCCTCCTGGTCGATCCTGGAACCTGGATCGTCGCAGGAGCATCGGCCCCTCCAGCTCGCCATGGCGGAGACGGGTCCCGAGGGAAATGGGGCCCGGAGGCCTCTCGCTGCTCTGCTCTGGGCGCATCGGGGCCCTCTGCGGGCTCCGAGGCCGGCAAGCAAGAGGAGGAGGAGGAGGAGGAGGAGGAGGAGGAGGAGGAGGAGGATGAGGAGGAGGAGGACCTTTGGTCCCAGGACCCGTGGCCCTCAGGATGCGCTTCCTTTTTTATGCAGATCTGACGTTGCCCCCCAAAAGCAGCATCGCAACGCGTTTGGAGCCCCGTGCTCCAGCTTTCTGCGTCATCTCTCGAGCCAGACCGATAATATGTGAGGATCGATCCTTGGAACTTTGCGGCGGAGTACCATGCAAACGCGGGTCAGGCAGAGAGCTAGATCGTAAAAGCCTGGGTTGCAGTGGCCAGGGCTGGCGCGCAGGATCCAGCAGCATCCTTCAGGATCTTTCATGCTCCTGGGAAGCCCGATTGACCCGGGTCTGGATTGATCCGGGTCAGCAGATCCCCGACGATCTGTTAGCGGAGGGACCCGAAACGGGGCGGCAATGCCAGTCGTGAACAAGTTGGAACGCCAGGAGCTCAGGGAACGTCGGTCCTCAATCCTCGAGCCTCGGCCCTCGCCCTGCGGACTACCCTTGAGCCTCGGCCCTCGTCGTAAAGCTCCAGGGAGCATGTCTGCCTCGCCGCAGCCTGTCGCCCGCCCGCCGCCCCATCAGCGCTGCTGCCGGAGTTCCTGGTGGACTACGCCGCGGGCCGTGCCCTGAGGCCTGTCTTTTGGGGAGTGGGCTCGAGAGTGCGGGCGCAAGGTCTTCGGAGACCTGCGTCGCCCCTCGGTGGTTTTCCAGCCTCGGGGTGCTTTGTATAGCAGCTGCGCCTTGCCGAACGCGTGCCGAAGGCGGCCTTTCGGCGGCCGCTTGAGACCGAGTTGATGGCCCAGGGAGTGTACATCTTTTTAAAGATCTACATATATATACATATATATATATATATATATATGTTTTACTACATGTATATATGTACATGTATACATGTACACAGTCAAAAACCTAATAAGGACGCGCGACTTTGCTCAGGGTACCCTTGCGTCCTTGCTCTTCCCTGCTCTTGCGCCCTTGAGGTTCTCGTCGTCCGCCGCCCAAGAAATCATCACTTCGGCTTCCAAGGGTCTTGCGTCCTTACCGCGCGTCCTTATTAGGTTTTTGACTGTACACGTGTATATATGGATATCTGTATACACCGACCCAGAGAGGGGACGGGCCTCGCCCAGGGACAGTTTTTTCGGGGCTTCGCGGCGAGGAGGGCGACGAGGAGGAGGGGGAGGAGGGGGGGAGTTCGAAAGGAGGAGAGCGACGAGGAGGAGGGGGAGGAGAAGGAGAACGGGGAGGAGGAGGAGGAGGAGGAGGAGGAGGAGGGGGAGTTCGAAAGGAGGAGGGCGATGAGGAGGAGGAGAAGGAGAATGGGGAGGAGGAGGAGGAGGAGGAGGAGCGAGAGGATGGGGCGTTGCCACACATGTTTGAGCTCCACTCGATTCTCTCTGGATCTGTTTCCTCGCTGACCCATATAAGTCATGTTGCACAGAGCTGCGAGCTCCGCTCAAAGTTTGCCGAACGCAACGGAAGAGGAGGAGTCGATAGCAACTCTTATTTTCCCTCGTGACTCCGTCGTTCGAGTGCACTGGCGTGGGTTAGCGTCTAAAAGTCAGTGAGGTAGCGCCAGTTTAGTGTCGACTCGCTTTGATTATGGTCGATTGGCGTCGACTAGTGTCGATTTGTGTCCATTCGCAAGAGCCAACGGGATGGTATGGTGTGGGCAGCTACCATGAGTTGCCACAGAGAAGGCGGAGGAGGAGGAGGAGGAGGAGGAGGGTGGATCGGAGGACGAAAAGGCACCGCAACCGCTTTCCTTGCTTCGTCTTCGCCTTTTTGTTGAGTCTCCTGGGAGGCCGTTTTGGTGATGGTGGTGTGGTTTCGTTTTGTCAAGACTGGACACCCTGGAACAAGTGGGAGAAGAACTACCTTGCACACGCGCACATCGGATCGGGGGTTCCCTTCGGAGATCATCCATTAAAATTGGAACGATACAGAGAAGATTAGCATTGCCCCTGCGCAAGGATGACACGCACGCATCGAGAAGTGTATAGAAGGGCCTACGTGGAAAATAAAAAACACATCTGATCGGGCCCCGGCCCGCTCGCGCCGCTCCAAGGGCCCGCCTGCCGGCGGACACGCGCGTCTTGTCTCGTCGTTCGCCATATGCATGCGTCGCACAGTCGGATGCCGAGCAGGGCAATGATCCCGAGAGGGTACGCGATGCATCGTAGAGCACGGCATAGCAGGGCGTATAAGAGCACGGCCAAGCGTAGCATGTCCTAGTGTGGCGTGGCGTTGCGTAGTCAAGAATGGCATCACAAAGCATTACAACGCAAGTAACGGCATCGCACAGCGGCACAGAACAGAACATGGCATAGCATGGCGTTGAATGTTAAAGCGCAGCGTGGCATACCATGGCGTGGCAATGCGTAGTCAAGCACTGCGTATCCTAGAATTGCAGCTGAAGGCATGGCATCGCACAGCGGAACACCACATAGCATTGCAATACATGTCGTGGCATGTCCTTGGAAATAATGACGCCAGCGCTTCAGCGGGAGCACGATTCGGAACGAGCGAAAGCGCGGAAATGAGGCCAGCGCTTCATCGGGAGCACGATTCGGAACGAGCGGAAGCGCGAAATGAGGCCAGCGCTTCAGCGGGAGCACGATTCGGAACGAGCGGAAGCGCGGAAATGAGGCCAGTGCTTCAGCGGGAGCCGCATTGTGAAACGAAAATCAAAGCGAGCGAAAACCCAACTCCCGCGAAGCCTGCGTTAAAAACAGTACGCGGAGGGGGGCCGAATCTCTTCCGGGCGTCATCAGGGGAGAGAGGAGAGTAGTATTCATATTGTGCAATTGTGGAGGAGGATCACCATGAAGACAAGGGGGTGTGGTTGATTGTTCTTCGTTTGCAGCCCGTCGGGCCCCTCGAGATCTCCGAAGCTGTCAAAAAACGATGCAGGAGGAATGCGTTTGTTGTGAGTGGAGCCGCGCGCTCCAGGAGGCGGTTGCCCTCGGGACATTTCTTGCAATCGCATCAACGGGGGAGGGGGCCAGGATGACGAGGATGATCGCGGGTAATTTGTATTCCCGAAGTTCGCTTAATCCGGCTTAATCCCGCTTAAGCCGAGGCCCACTCCGGCGTAACAGCTCCCAAATGGGGCTTAATATGTTTCAATCTTTCCGACGAAAACCTCCCAGTAGTTGCCTCCTAAGAGGACGATCTGATCGCGGGCAATTTTTCTCCACCAAGCCCCGAGTTCTGCCCGAACAGTTTTGCCCCTCAAGAACGTGGGGGAAACCTGGATACAACCCAAGGGGGCTATTCGGACGCACCACGTGTGAGCATGACCCCCATCCCATCGCATATCCCAGGGTTGGGCCCGCAACTTCTGGTCCAGTGGAAAACCTCCCGAAGCCTGGGATAGGGGTCGACATATCTCTTGTGAGTTGACAAAGGGTCGGGGGTCAATGCAAACGGGGTCAGCGAATGCGCAAGATCTTGCAGGATCCTGCAGAGCCAGGACTGCACTGGGCGGGTCTAGCTGGCAGGATCTTGCAAAGCCCGACTCGCCCGGTCTGCATTGACCCGGGTCAGTGGGTTCCCTAAGGAGGGTGAAGAATCAGGGATGCATGCAGATTTGCTTTCTCATATTTCTGAGCCTCCAGGGCGGCGCAGGAGGAGGAGGAGGAGGAGGAGGAGGAGGAGGAGGAGGAGGAGGAGGAGGAGCAGGAGGATGCAGACGACGACGATGACGACAACGTGAAATCTTCAATGGCTTTCGGATTTCAAGAGTTTCAAAGGTTTCTGGAGGCGGGATGTGGAGAGTGAGGACGAGGCGTGCGAGGATTGGGAGGAGGGAGGTTGGGTTTTGGGAGGGCGTCCAGGTTTTTGGGGGGGTCTCTTTTAAGAGCGGGATATCGAGAGCGTTGCGGGGCCGTCGCGGCCTCCAGGAGTTCGTGAGACGATTCACGGGAACGCCCCATAGCGGCGAAGACGGCCCAGGATGGCCCAGGACGCCCCGGGAAGATCCCGGGATGATTCTGATGGACCATACTCGGGAGCCTTGAGACGGGGGTCAATGCAAACGGGGGTCAGCCAGGGCGCCAGATCCTGCAGGATCCTGCGGAGGCCCCCTCTGGCTGACCCTGGGTTAGGGAGCCGCTCGTGGCCGCGAGGCGGCCGCGCCTATTGGCTGACCCGGGTTGGCGAGGACCTGCGTTGCAGTTTGTTTTTTCCTGCATTGCAGGTTTTTGGTTTCCTGCTGACCCGGGTCTGGATTGACCCGGGTCAGAAGATCCCCGAATTCTGATGGACCATACGATGCCTCGAAAGACGATCCAAGATGTCCCCAGAGAGGCCACACGCACCAGACAATTGAGGCACAGACTCGGACCTCCGGATGCCTCGGGTGGCGTTTGTGCCCAGTTCCGGCTTCCCCTTTGGGCATCCTGCCACGGTTTACCATTTACGCCACCGAGGTGCCTAATCCGAATCGGTCGAGATCGCCAGACGAATCGCCCAGGGAGGTGGGAGGAGGAGCAGGAGGAGCAGCAGGAGGATGAGGAGGAGGAGGAGGAGGAGGAGGAGCAGAAGAAGCAGAAGGAGCAGAAGGAGCAGAAGGAGGAGGGAGGAGGAGGAGGAGGAGGGAGGAGACGGAGGAGGGAGGAGGAAGGAGGAGGAGAGGATCAGGAGGGCGAGGAGGAGGAGGAGGAGAAGGAGGAGGAGGAGGGAACCAGAGGGCGGAGGCGTGGCAGGAGCAGAAAACGGCCTGGGCCACCCCGAGCTCCCGGGGGCCCCCCCGGCGCGCTCCCTGGACGGCTCCTTGGGGCCCCAGGAGGGCAGCTCCGGTCCCTTCCCTCCTTTCCTCCTCCTCCCCCTCCTCCTCCCCCTCCCCCTCCTCCTCCTCCTCCTCCTCCTCCTCCTCCTCCTCCTCCTCCTCCTCCCCTCCTCTCTCCTCCTCCTCCTCCTCTCTCCTCCTCTCTCCCCTCCTCCTCCTCCTCCTCCTCCCCTGCCCTCCCTCCGAAGCGGGGGGGCGGGGGAGGCGGCCCGCGGGAGCCCGGCCGGCCCCCCGGGGGATCGGCGCGCCGCGCCGCGGCGGGGAGCGATCCGACCAGACGTAGGAGTTGACCTCTCGCCGGAGTGACCTTTGGTGCTCAGTGGGCCTCGTCCTCGTCCTCTCTCTCCTCCTCCTCGTCCTCGTCCTCCTCGTCCCCCTCGTCCTCGTCCCCCTCGTCCCCCTCTCTCCTCCTCCTCGCCCTCCTCCCCTCCTCCCTTTCTCCCCTCCTCCATCCCTTGCCCTTAGTGGGCCCTGGAAACGACAAGGCCGTTTTTTCACCGGTTCCGTTTTGCCGTTTTTGTTGCCGCTTCCGACGCCGTTTTTTCACCGGTTCCGTTTCGCCGTTTATGTTACCGGTTCCGGCTCCAGTTCCGATCTTGGAGCAGTTTTTTTGCCGTTTCCGGTCGCCGTTTTTTTTGCCGTTTCCATTTTCAAGGGACATTTTTTTGGCAACGGTGAAAAACGGCCCTGCCGTTTCCGGGGCCCACAAAGCTTTGGTCCGGGCACAGATGGGTCCCCAGATGGCGGAGTGCTCAGGTGTTGTTTGGGGAACGGATTGGGGACTGTCGGGAAATCATCTCCTGAAGAGTACGCACTGTCCTGAGTGGACCCTCGAC